AAAAATATTCATATCTTGTATTCAATTTCAATTTTTCTACATCTCAATAAGCTTCAAGATACGTTGATAACATATCTGGAAGAATTTTCGAATCAAAAGTGACGATATCGAAGGCACTGTTATACGTGCCAATGTTAATTATATTAGCAAAGTTTCGAAGGTATTCGATTTCTTCGAACCACTTTGCATCGATGATCGACAAATTTTCGAAGCTGGAACGACGAAGATGGAACATCATGAAAATACATTTCGAAGTCGGTTGGACGAGAGTGACGCCGGTCTTTCATCAAGCGTGTATCGTAATGGAAAACTGGAGCGGGCTTCTTCGCGTGCGAGGCAAAGGAACGCTGCTTTTATATTGGGTGTTCGAACATTCCGATATTTCATTTTACGTTTCGACGTAGAGAAATTATAAACGAGACTGTACTTCGATATATTGCCACTTATATCAACTTATATTTACGGGTGATTGTTTAACTAAGAAATAAAACGAAATAAGAAGAATAACAAAAATTACGTTTTCGACGTGATTTCGTAATTATCGATCAAATTTTATTTGTCGATAATTGAAAAGAAATTTTTTTATATACTCGTTTTCGCCTCATTTTGATTCGAAGAATTAATGATCAAAGATAGAAATTCTAAAAACTCAATTATAATATAATTTATTCATAGATAGAAGAATTTAAATAATTTAAACTTAGGAGAGATACGAATTTCGAGAGTTTCAAATTTTAATTCATCTCTGAGAGACGCCATTTTATGGGCCGAATTTTTAATCGATTTAGAAATTGATAATCAAGCAAGGAAAGATCAGATACGGATCATCTTCGACGTTTCAATAAAGTTGAAAACGATACAGTGAAGAATTCTTTCCAATCGATACATTTTTGGTGGAGAAACTGCAGGACGCATATCTATTCTAGATGACGTAAGATTTTACACAACGGTCTTACGTAAAAATCTTCGGGAAATGATCAGTTTTTTTTAGGAAAATATGCAAGGTAATTACTTAAAAAAAAAAAAAAAACCAACTTTTTTATCGAAGCCAACCCAGAAGAAACGTTGAGAGTAACGTTTCTGCAAAATATATTTTGTCTCGTATCCAAGACAATTCGTTTCTATGTAAATGCTGGCCCCACAATTGAAGCACAAGACGATAGCAAAACGACAAACGGTAAATAGAACACCCTGTATTGGGGAGACGGTATTTATATGCATATGAGAATAATCAACAGTCGCTTCGTTCCCATTTGGCGAGAGGAATTTCAATGGGACAAACGTCCCGGAGTACTTTGTACTCCCGGATCGACATCGAACTACAACTATCTCAACCTTAGGCTCTAATTTCCAAAGGATCGGATATACGCTCAGATTCCATAATGGTTTAACAATAGGCGTCCCTATTAATAACTATGATCTTCGTTTCAAGCGTAGCACTTTCTATAGTACCAACCAACGATGATCTATCGATGAAATAGTTCGATTGATACTTTCTGCTCAAGTGAATTGATATATAAGACCGATTCGCACACGCGAATTACACACAAAAAAAGAAATGCAACGTGTCTGAAAATTAAGATCAAAAAAATCTTTATCTTTTTTTTTAAATATCGAATCAACGAGCAAGTCTCGTTTAGAAATTTATAAATAGACGGATGAAATAATATCTTTCGTCGAAACTAACGACCAACGGACAATGGTTTACCTCGGGCAAACTTTAGAAAAGATATTCGTAAAATCTCTTTGATTAATTGATACAAGTAAACACGAGCTAAGATCGATTAAACAAGGATCCAATTTACTCGAAGCAAAGAAGTTAAGATAAGTTTTAAATGAATCTGGAAATCTTCGACATTACTTTAAGATTTATGTTATAACAATGTTACCCCCTTCCCCCACCCCCCTCAGAAATGAGTATATCACCTGTTATTACGTAATTTACTTTGAAATTTAATTAAACTATATTAAAAATTGGAAAAACTTTAAATCGCTATAAATAACATTGAATATAGCGATTTTCGAGTCAATGAATGAAGAGATGGTTAAAAGAATAATTTTTTATCGTCCCCATCCTTGTTACTGATTCGTATCTATTTCTAGGAAAAGTATAAAAATCGCTAGATCGTAAATCACCCCCGTTTATAATCCCCTTAATCTTAAACGCTATGAACGTTTCGAATCTTATCTATATCACTTTAAATGTTCAAGTTTCATTTGTCACTTTACCCACGATTCACTTAATTTTGATAAAAATAATTAAAAACAATAGATATACAGAATTGTATTATCCTCCTTATTTAATCTCACATCCATTCGTATGAAATTATTTCTGAGAAACACTTGAGTTGAGAACGAGCAACAATCAGATCAGATTTTTGCAATAAAAAGCAAGCAAGTTTTTCTTATAACCTGGAACTCGCTTCCCTGAATCGTCGCGATCTCTCGCCCAAGAAACGAACCGGTCGCCCGAGGACACTTATTGATTTACGGATGGCAATTGCTCAAGAAGCCCCCTCGGCCACAGATCTCGAGCCTCTCTTCACGGATGCTCTCGAGCCTCGAGGGCTCGAAACTGTACCGCCGATATCGTAATCGAGAAACGCGTTAATTTGCTATCCACCTTTGGATAGGTGAGATTGACCTTAGAACGCAGACATCTCTCCTTTTGTTGGAGCGTTGATGGAAGATTTCGTCAGAACGAGTTATACAATTCTCAGTATGTCTAATATCAGGTATCACAAACAAGATCAAATATTCAAGTGTTTTGATGAAATTTAATATTGTTTAAGAATATGAGATTGTTTGAGATTATTTAAATTATTTGTTAAACTTGTTTTCCAATATAAATTCGTTTCAACATCCTCCAAACTATTACTATTAAGTAACACTCTTTTCAACTATAAAAGTATAATGCTCTTTCTCCGTCAAACAAATCGGAAGACAATAAATATCCTATTAATTCGAAACAACCCCTTCGAGGAAACCTTACGAATAATTTTCATCGCCATGATTGTGCACAATCTGGAAATATACACTGGCGCGAGATATCAATTAAAAATTGCCCGACTGAGAAAAGAACAAGATTACGAGAGATAGATAGAAACTGCGTGTATCGGAGAATTCTTTTCCTGGCTTGGATTCTATAATCGAGTTTCCAGCGTCACTTTGCCTCGCGCATATCAACCTCCTCCAGCCCTCAATTATTCTTCCAAAGGCCAATTAAGCGTGTTAAACGCGCCACTCGCTTCGATCGAGAGACGTTTCAATTCTCTCTCCCTCCCTCTCTTTTTCTCTGCGAAAGAATAGCACTTTTCCTTTCTCTCTCTCTCTCTCTCTCTCTCTATCTATCTATCTTTCAAGATTATTCAAGCTTGCGAAAACAGTTTTGGAAAACAGAAATTCCAGGATACGATTTATCCAAGATGATAAAGGAGGATTAGGGGAGGGTGGAGGGGATGGTGTGGAGAGAGGCTGAATCAGCGCTCGAGAGGGGAGTAATAATAAAGGGAAAGATGGTGCGTCCCTGGACGATTTCTAGAAAAATGAAATAACGAGAAGAGTCAATGTTTCTGATCGCAGTTTGAGAGGGGAAGGGTGTTAGGGAGTGAAATTGCCAGCAGCGATCCTGTGAGGATGATGGGAGGAATATAGGAGAGGAAACGACGACGACGATGATGATGATGATGATGATGAAGAAGAAGAAGAAGAAGAAGTAGAATAAAAAGTAGGGCTCTTATTATATTGATTGGATAACTTGAATATCTGCAAATTTGGATTCGAATTAATTTGGATATTGAAAGAATCGAATATACATTGAGAGAAGTATCATTTAGATTGATAGGTCGAGTTATTCGAATTCTGACGATTTGAATTGAAGTTATTTATAATTCGAAGCTTGGATAATTAATTCTTATAATTCTTATAATTCCATAAAATATATATTTCTTAAATTTTCTAAATTGTATCTTCATTTTAATGCGTAATTTACTTAAACTATTCAGATTACTTGAACCTTGTACCATGCAAATTCAAGTCAAAGGAATTAAAAAATTCTATATATTTCAAGTCGTGTTGTATAAGTGATTAGATAGATTTCAAGTCGAAAGGAAATATTAAAATTACATACGACATCAAGTTGCATGAAGTTCAAGTCACACTGGCTTTAAATTATTTAAATATAAACTAATCGATGACTTGAACTTCACTTAAAAAAAAAATTTGATAAAATACCAAATTGAATAGATACTTAAATTAGTAAATTAACTTCAAATTACCTGAATTATTTCGAGTTTCTTAAATCGAAACGAGAAAAGTATAAGAAAGAATTTGCAAATGTCTGTATTTTTCCATATATACTAAAATTCGATTGCTCAGCTATCCGCACAATAAGAGCCCCTAATAAAGAGAATCTCAATCCAAAAAACGTACAAGAGAAGGAAATAGAGAGCAGTCGTGATGGAGAAGAAGAAGAAGAAGAAGAAGAAGAAGTAAAAGAGAAAATCAGAAAATTCTGAAAAAAAGAAACTAGCGTGTTCAATTCTATCAAGCACTATCAAATAACTCCAAACCAACCGTGTCAAAAAATAAAAGCGATCAAACAGATTACGAGGAAGAAGAAGAAGAAGAAGGAAGAAAAAGAAAGAGAGAGGAAAGGAAAAAAAAATAATAATAATGGAAAAAGAAGAAAGGACGTGCTCGTAAGAACGACGGCCAAGGTAGGAGAAAAGAATAATATCGTAATAATGGAATAATCGAGTGGTCGAAGAAAAAAAAGAAAAAAGTATATTATATATCGAGTACAAAAAGTATTCGGAGAAGTAGTTAAAAAAAGTAAGTAAGTAAGTAAGTAAGTAAGTAAGTAAGTAAGTAAGTAAGTAAGTAAGTAAGTAATGTGTTTTCGTTTTGTTTTCTTTTCTTTTTTCTTTTTCTTTTTTTTTTTTTTCTTTTTCTTTTGCGGGCATTAACTAGAGTCTTAAGTGAAAGTGAGTACATCATACGTCATGTCACCATAGCCCACGGTCGTCATCGTGACAACGGCCCACCAGAACGCGTCCGGAATGGACTTGAAGAACGAATTCTCGGAGCCGGCCTCCGCGAAGTATACCGCCGATGAGAATAGCACCACACCTGCAATGCAAGGAAGAAAACACCGGTTCAGTGGGTTTAACGCCCCCGGTGGCTCTGTACCTCATGTCCCCGTAGCCCACGGTCGTCATCGTGACCACCGCCCACCAGAACGCGTCCGGTATCGATTTGAAGAAGCTGTCTTGCGTGCCCGCCTCCGCGAAGTATACCGCCGACGAGAACAGCACCACACCTGAAACGCACACAAGAGGAACAGACGCTTCAAGACACGCTACTTTGCCCGTCCTCCATCCCTTAAGTCCGCTTAGCAGCTCCTCCGGATCCGATTGGTTCGCCCTCCACTTCCGCTATGGTACGACCGATCTCTTCTCTCGGTGGATCGATTTGTGAATCGATAATTCGTTTTTTTTTTTTCCCCTCCTCTTTCCAGTTCGATCGAGGAATACGTGGAATTAAATAATTTTTGTGGGTGTGGATAGCCTTCTCGTTTTCACCTCTTGGTTTTTGTCTTTGCGTTTAGATCGTTTAGATCGTTGCGCTCTCGAAGATCGAGGTTGATCGAACGAGTTAGATTGTGAGTTCGAGAGCGGTATCTAAAGATATAATAATGATACTTGTGGCAAGTAATAATTATGTTATCGATTGTTACAGTTGTCGATTATAAATTTTAATACGTAATAATCAGTCGATAAGTTACGTTACCTGTATTATTATCAAATTTCTACTTTAAAAATGATATTTGGAATTCGGAATGATTTTAACATTTGTAATATACCGAGAAATATTTAGATTGTCTCGAAAGTTTTTTTCCTTTCTCGCTTATACTATACAATCAATTTTACTATACAATTTTTAATTTGTTAATTTTCAACAAATTCCAACGTCATCGAGTTGTCAATTAAGTCGATCGAAAATCAGAAAATGATCCTTTTGGACGAAGAAATTTCTATAGAAATTATACAAACGTATCTTAGAATTCCTGGTTTAACCATATTTGAAAAATTTCTCAAGCCATAATTACCATTTCATATTTCGTGTGGTGAAATGAAAAAAAAAATTTGAGACAATCTGCGTTTTCATGTTTGAGGAAAAAGAGGGGAATTGGAAGTGAGGCCGAATTAAAAATCATTGGATCCAAGCGGGATCGTAAATCTCTTTACGGGAAGCCAGCCATCCGAAATATCCCGATGGAAAACTTGGTCAGCGGAAGCTGGAAAATGTCGAGGGTGTGCTTCCGGTTTTCGAACAATGGCAGCCAATAATAATTTTCCCGACTTCGAAACGCTGCCGCATTATTTTCGCGAGGAAATTAAAATTGCAAATTTCCAATGCCTCGTCCTTCGAATTTCTTTCTCAGATGCGTTAAAACTCGTCGCAGTGGTAAATAAACTAGAAAATCGGGCAAAGTTCCGCTGGATGAGGAGTAAACACGAGAGAAGTGAATAAAAGTTGCGCAAAAGTTTCGCTACATTTGGAACAAATGGTCCACTGTTTGTGAATGGACGAACACGATTGATCGTTATTCGATATATATAGAATAACAATATCGTTTCTACCGATAAGTCGATAACAACGACGATGTACATTGGGTATCAATCTTTAGAAACTTAATAGATAGGCTTCTTTCTCGCCCCATCCATTAAGGATCCATCTCCTGCGTGGAATAAACGAAGGAAAAATAAAGAGGATGAAGGGACAGATGGAAAGAGAGAATAAGTATTTAGTTTGGTGGAGTTTTTTTTTGTGAAGTATCACTGCAAACTTTTCTTTTTAACGAGATTTTACCTATTTTTTTCATAGAAATAGATAAAATATTTTGCATATCTTGAATTTATCAAAGATGTTACTGTGAACAGATTAAGTTTGCGTTAGCTTAATGATTCCTCCCAAATTTCCCAAAGATTTACGTGATTGTAAATCTATACTTTTTCAACTTTGAGTTCGTTAGCAAACAAGCTCAAAGACTGAAAATATTTAATGAGCGAAAAAAATAATCAGAATGCTTCGTATATTGAACTATTCTTTGCATATATATAATTACTTCAACAAAATGCAGATTTATTGCAAACTTAATGCAAGCTTAAGTTCAATTAGTATAAGACAAAATTTTGAACGAGTATAAAAGATACGTTATTTTTATTATTTTTCAATGAACAATAAAACAAAGAAAATCTAACTCAAACTTAACCTCTAACCTCTTCGATAAATTTTTTTTTTTTTGAAAATACGAAAGTAAAAATTTTAGACAGAATTTAAAAAGCTGACAACTGAAATTTCAAAAGACGCCACAGATATTGTAGAAAATTATCAAGAGCCATTTATTTAAAAAACGTTTAACATTTAACAGGAAAAAAGAAGAAGAAGAAGAAATGATCAGAGCGAGATTTCGACTCACCGATGAATAGGAAAAAGATGAGTAAGCCGAGCTCCCTCATGGAGGCCTTGAGGGTACGGCCGAGGATCTGAAGGCCTTTACTATGCCTGGACAGCTTGAATATCCGGAACACCCTGACGAGCCTGATGACCCTGAGTATCGCCAGGGACATCGCCTGGTTCGTGCTCTTGTCCTGCGGGCTTACCGGCGCCTTTGGTAGGTCAAGCGTCTCCTCCTCCTCGGCCATCACTGTGCCGAGGGTGATGAAGTAAGGAATGATCGCGATGATGTCGATGAAGTTCATTACGTCACGGAAGAAGTTCAGTTTATTTGGACAGGCGAGGAAGCGCACCGATAACTCGAACGTGAACCAGATGATACAAATAGTCTCTATTAGGAAGAACGGGTCCGTGATATCCGGCACTTCGTCCTCCTCGATCTTCGTGCCGTTCGTGGTCGTGTTGAAGACCTTGTAGTGTTTGAACTCGGGCAGGGTCTCCAGGCAGAATATCACGATCGAGAGGAGGATCACGATCACGGATATTATGGCCACTACCCGGGCGCCTTGCGAGCTCTCCGGGTACTCGAACAGCAGCCAGACCTTCCTCTGCAACTCGTGCGACGGCAGCGGCTTCTCCTCCTCCTTGATGAACCCCTCGTCCTCCCTGCCGATTTAATCAGAGTTATCGTCTCTCGCAATTTTTCCACCCGCCCTCGAACGCCTCTAACGTGGCCGTAAATGGCCCCCTTGCTTTCGCCGTGAATGTGTGTAATAGAGGGTGTTTCGTTCAAAAGGAGTGATCTCGTCTCGATTCTCTTGGAAGGAGATTGTGTGTATCTTTTTTTTTTCTCTCTCTCTCTTAAATTTTGATTCGTATTTTTAACCCCGTACGTTATTATTTTCTGCTCTGTTTGTCTTTTCCAACGCGAAAGAAGAAGAAACGGAGTGGAAGGGGACGAATTTTCAACCTCCCACCCCTTCTTCCTTTTATTTCCGTGGTAACGAAACTCGAATGAAACGAGATCATTGTATCTATCTCAGAAGCGAGAGATTGAACAAACGTCTCTGAACAAACGAGCTAGCTGAATTCCGTGCAATATGTTTTTTTTCTAAATTTAAACGTAGAAAAATGTACAAAAAGAATATGATTCAAAGTAAACTGTATATCGCGATATTTTAAAATTGAAATTTCTCTTTTTCTTAAACCATTCCATTTCTTAAACGTTATTTACAAATCATTATTCCAATTTTTATTTATAAAACATTCTTCAGGGAATAAAATAAGTCGATTTAAATAAGTCACCCGGTACATCTCTTACATTTCCACCTCCGTTAATAAATAAATAAATGATCCTTCTCTGGAAAATATTTTCCAGAGATTCGAGGAGGATCGATATAAATAAGTCACCCTGTACATCGGCCACAACTCATATCTTCTTATTTTTCATCTTAAAATTATTTTCGCCAATAAGTAAATGGATAAATAAATGATTCTCGTCCAAAATATTTTCCAGATATCGATTCGATCCGATCCTTAAAATATTTTCCACCGCCGCCGCTGATGAATAAATAAATCGGCTCGATACGTACCTGAATTTGTTGGTGGCCAGCTCGCCCAGCTCGTAGAACTTGATCTCCTCGGAGAAGACATCGAGAGGAACGTTGACCGGGCGACGGAGCCTGCCACCGCTCTGGTAATAGTAAAGTATCGCGTCGAAGGAGGGCCGATTCCGATCGAAGAAGTACTCGTTGCGAAGCGGATCGAAGTATCGGATACGCCTATGCGGATCGCCAAGGAGCGTGTCCGGAAATTGATTCAGCGTACGCAGCTGCGTCTCAAACCGTAGCCCGCTCACCTGTCGAGATCAGTCGAGAATCGGTTGTTGTTAAGTATCAGTATAGAAATATTCGAGATACTCGAATACTCGAGTATTCAAAAGTCTCGATATCGAGTAATATGAATATTTTCGAATTTGTGTCCGAAAGATTCGAGTAGAACTCTTAATATATGGTTACCACGTGAGCTACCATTTGAGTTCTCTTCTGAATAATATTTTACGAGTGAAAGATTAAGTATCGAACAAAGTTTTGAAAATTTATATTTAAAAGTATTAACTCTTATTGTGAAAAATTCGAATCTAAAAGAGGTGTTAATTTCTATTGCAAAAGTTTGGACAATAAGTCAAGGACAATTACAATTATCTGGAAGATATTGATTCTTACTTCAGAGAACTTACTTCAATAAGATCTTCAAAGATCTTTATTTATATTTTCTATTGAATATAAAAAAAGATGGCAAAAAGATGGCAAACATATGTTTTTTTTTTAATTTTCATTTTTTTTTTTTTCACACAACTCTTACTACTTTTTACGTGAGATTCGTAAGATTTTTCTAATTAAAATAAAATCAAACATGATAAATTTTATATTTACGTATTTAATGATAATTACTTTTTTTAAAATTATAGTCTTATTTTAATTAAGGAAATTTCCTGTATACATTAGTAAAAAAAAAAAAATTACTAATGTAATTTAATCCAATAATTTGTCATTTTTCTCTTACTGTTTAAATATAAATTTAAAAGAAAATTTAATTCGTGTAATTTCGATTTTTCCTTTTTGAAAGTACGATATTATTAAATTTCTTTTATAAAATTAAATGCTTTTATAAAAAATGGCGTGATCGAAAAAGTCGATATTTGATTACAAAAAATTGTTTTTTATAATACCGATACATTTATTTCTGATATCTGTATCAATTTTCAATTATAACGGTTTTACAGATAAAATTTCATAATCAATTGAATAATTTGCATTTTTGTATTATTACATTATACCTTTTGTTTCATTTATTTGAAAATATTGTTTATGCATGATTTTCCTTATTTTTAAAAACAGAATATAAACAATCCCAAAAGATCATACCAGGCAGATATTGTGGTTATCGTATCATTATTTTTTTTTTTTTAAATTTCTAAAGGAGTAAATAACGAGTAAAATGTGATACGTTATCATGGCAATCTTTATAGGATAAAAAAAAAAACCAATACTAAAACACAATTACTCGATTAAAACTGTAAAACTGTGATACGGCTAAAAATGAATACGTATGCCAAAAAAAAAAGAAAAGTATAAATATTAAATAAAAGAAATAAAAATTAAATAACTTTTTTTCTAAATCAAATAATCCTATGATTCTCGCTGTTTCTGAGATAACTTCAAAGCTGTCGAAAAAAAAAAAAATTATACGATTAAAACAAATTTGATTGTAATGTATTAGATTGATGAAAATATTAGAAAAAAATAATTATCTTTGGAATATCTTCAATAAAAAATACAACAATCGATATTTTTTATCCATTCACTCTTTAAATCTGAAAAGATTTATTATGCTATGATATAATAAATATCTCGTCCCTTTTCACTTATTTTTTCATTCATCTCCCACTCGATTGTCGTATTTTTGTCATTATCGGATTAAAAATGTCGCGAAAACAAATGTTTACGTTACCAAAAATCTATAATTGGCATTGATTGAACTAACTGAAGAATACACAAGATGTTGATACATTTACGCGAGATCTTTAAAATACCAATTCTTAGAAAAAACAAAAAGTTAAAATATCTCTATCTCTATCTCATTGCCATTTTACTCGATTTTCGTCTCGTTTCGTTCTTTCTTTCAAATAAATAACCTATTAATTTAATCAAATCACTTAATCAATCTTAATCATGTTTCTTCGATCTCCAAAACCGAATGTATATTAACACCCTGCACAGGATTGTACTTCACTTTCGTATCGAAGGCAGATTCCAGATTGTACGATTTTAAACAACCACTCATCTCAAGGCAAACTATTCCAGGAGAAGGTTCACTGACCGAACGTATCTATTCGCTCTCGTAACATTCTTCGAAGATAGACTCCCACGCGAGTTGCTCGCTCTTTCAGTCACTATAAATACACCTTTGCACCGTGAGACTGCTTTATTAAAGATTTAACGAAAATCAATTGGGAATCGATACTCGTCTCGAATAGAAAATTAGTTCGCAGCTCTACCAGAATTTATTCCGCGCAATGAGCGAGTGTATAAATCGAAATGATTGAACAGAAATTATGAATCGATTGTGGTTGCGGTGTATCTGTTACAGGGATCGAATTTTGAGTGGTCGAACACTTATTCAATTCGAATCTAAGTACTCGAACACTTGTAGAATTTTTTTATTATTTAAATATTCACGCGCGATAGTGTCTTGATATTGATGTTTTTATTTTAGGAAACAGCCTACGTCATTTACGATGAAGTTAACAGAGAAATTTTTTGACGATGAATAAAAAGATCGTTAGAGTAAATAAAGAAATGTTACATTTTACGCGTCATTTCTAGATTTTTGTACGCTCAAATTTTGCGCAGATATTCATAAATATCCATCAATTATAAATTACAGAAGAAAAAAGTTTTTTTAGAATTGGGCATGAATTGATTCCAAGACAATCATTTTCCTGTCGAATAAGAATATAAATTAGTTACAGAATGCACAATTATAACTCGAATTTCTTTTTTTTTTTTTTTACTATGATTTCAAAACTCAATAGACAAGTACTCAGTAGACAAGAGTTCTCACTCTACAGCCTGGATATTCATGCAAAATTGACTTGTGGCGTAATTGTAAAAGATTCATGTCCCTGTTAAACGCCAACGATGAACTGCCAATTATAGAATAATCATGAATTACAGAGGAATTACTACTGCGAGATCTTAATACTATTAATGAGTTAAAATCTTGTCCTTAAAGAGATTCATAGAGACGAACGTTTGCGATTATCATTGGCCACTGTGTCGGAATTTATGAACGCCAATTATAAAGAGTCGCGGATGATCTATTTTGGCTGAAAAAGAACGATTTTCTTTTCGATCCCGCTCGACGAAGCGGAAAACTAATAAACGAAACTGGGGTAATTGCGTCCCGCCATTAGAACGATTAAGAAGAAAAAGAAGGAGTATCGGTTATAACTGTCGCGGCAGAGGTTGTTTCATCGATGGTCAAAAGAGTGGGAGCATTGCAGGGGAACACCTTTCAAGAATTAACGTCATAGAAGATAATAATGTTATAGCGTTATGGAGGATGAATGTGTGCCGCGAAACGTTTCGTTAAAATAAATCGAGTTCTGGACAAGCTGGAATGCTGGGTGCACGATGGATCGACAAACTGATATAAACAAAGAGGATGTTGACAACGCTGGGATGATTTATTTTTTTTTTTTTTTAATTGAAAAGATGTTTTTCGCGCGAAAATGATGAAATGAAATTAATTTTCGAGACGCTGGAAAAATGTTTGGAATTTTTCTAAAAATTTTTCTCCAATCTTTTCTTCGTGTAAAATTATTTTAAAACAAAGATTAAATTATTACAAATCATTGGAATTTACAAAATCGATAAAAATAGTAATTTTTGATTGGTTTGCTACATCTCGAAAAACTTATTTTCAATTTCTTTCGTTTATTAAAAATCACGTATGGGCAGAAAAAAATTTTATTTCTACGTTGCATCTCATTCTATCTATTTAATTGTTTATTCATTTTTGTCATTAATTGCTTTGAACTCAATAATCATATTCAAAATACATAATAATTCATGAAAATTGCATCACATATGTGTTTATCCTAAAATAGAAAGAAAAAAAAAAAGATTATCTTGCAATGATAATAGATCATAATATATTGTTATTATTATTGTATGCAATAAGATATATTGTTATAGAATTAATTATATATTATAAAAATATAAAATATAATTAAAAGCTGTCAATATTTCAGTTTACATTGACGATAAAATATATATTTGGTATCGCCAAAAAAATATTATTTTTAACGTCACTCAATTGCAAAACTGAGAAAATAGATTTTTCAAATAAATAAATAAAAATCAATATTTTCAAATACTATAGGATTTTATGAATAAATTTTTTTTTTGAAATAATATATAATTTAATAAGTTAAATAATATTTCAAAAATATACAGAGAAAAATTAAAAGTATAAAAATAACATAGAAACTTTTTGAAACGAATATTTTATTGAAATACAAGAAAACAATGTTTCAAATGATAAAACCAATACTAGAATAGAATCTAATGTTTTTAATTGAATCATACTATTGCATGTATGTATGTATATATATATATATAAACTTTAATTAATTTATTTTCAATGTTTAAAAAGTAAGAAATAAATAAGAAATTCAAATGGAAAATAAATTAACAAAAATATTTATTAATTTTTTTTATTTAATTTCAAAATTTATACGTTGAATAAAAGTGACAATATATGCCTTAAAAAAATAACTTGCTTATGAAAATATTTCAATTTTCTATCAGATATCTCTTCATTGTTATTGAGTGATTATTATTCGAAAAATATAATGATCCGATTAATTGATATTAGAATATTTACTTTTCTTTTAATTTTTACTTTTCACCGTTATTGTCCTATGTTTTTTCAGAAAATTGACCAATAATATCAAATTTATTTCAATTGTATAATTATAAAATATAAAATGATCGAAATAAAAAATAAATTAATTAAATACTAATTTCATTATATCCAATTTGTGAATTTCTATATATATCAAAAGATGAAATATTTTTTAATCCCTCAAAGAATTAAATGACCAGAATTAATACCCTTGAATCATTTTACGTAATGGTCCATTAGTATTCACTACTATCACTAGAAATTATGACGAAAGTACCTCATAAAAGCCATCATTGCGATCAGTCTATGCGCCTATCTGTAGTACCGACCATTGTCGCTAGACGGCCTTAAGTGCCAACTTTCTCTCTCATTAGCATTATTTAT